TAAAGTGGGTGTTTTATTTATTCACAATAACATATTTTTTTTTTTTTCTTTTTTCTTTTTTCTTTTTTTGTCTCTTTTCCTTATATTTTTTTATATACGTTTTTTTTACCTACCTCCTCCTCTAACATTTTTTAAAGTGGGTGTTTTATTTATTTACAATAACATACATATATTAATATTTTTACTATTCATGTTTTGGGGTTTTTTTTCATTATTATTATTATTGTTGTTGTTGTTGTTATTATTATTATTATTTAAACTTTTTTTTTTGTTACCAAACTCCTCCACTACTACATCACAATATTAATATATCCACTCTGCCAATTGGATTTCTATGTTGTCAATATTTCTCAATATTGTGTTGTCTACCAATTCTCTAGCTTCAAAAGGAAAACTCCCCATCAAATGGATGGCACCAGAATCCATCAACTTCAGAAGATTTACCTCTGCCAGTGACGCCTGGATGTTTGGTACGTTTTGCCGCATTTACTAGCAGGAATAAAAGTCATGGACTACATAAAATGAAAAAAATATTTCTGGTTTGATGACTGATTACAGTTAAGATGGTGATGGTGGTTTTGGTCATTTTTATGGTAAAGCATGCTTATAATATTAGCGATGGCGATGGTGATGGTTGTTGTCATGGAAGTGGTAGTAGAAGGTGGTGATGGTGATGGTTATGGTGATGGTGATAGTTGTTGTCATGGTAGTGGTAGTAGAAGTGATGGTGATGGTGATGGTGATGGTGATGGTTGCTGTCGTGGTTGTGGTTGTGGTGGTAGTGGTAGTGGTAATGGTAGTGGTAGTGGTAGTGGTAGTAATGGTAATGGTTTTGAGGACGATGATGATTTGTTGATGAGACGTTTATAAAAATGATCAAATATCAACGTTCTAATGCCCTTTCCGCTTCAGTCAGAATGAACTAAACAAATCTCTATTGTTGACTTTTCTACTCAGGCGTTTGTATATGGGAGATTCTGATGTACGGTATCAAGCCATTCCAAGGAGTCAAAAACAATGAAGTTATTGGTAAAATCGAGCAAGGAGAACGACTACCCCTCCCCCATAACTGCCCTCCAGCCCTGTACCATTTGATGACTGAGTGTTGGTCTTATGAACCTTCAAAAAGACCCACCTTTCAAGACATCAAAACTAGACTAAGGTACGTAGTAGTGCACTCGCCTCTGATCACTTCTGGGCTCTCGGTTTGATTCCTGGACTTAACATCACATGTGAATAAAGTTTCTTCTCTTCTTTCAAGGGTTTTTCTCCGGTTTCCCTTTGGAAAATGCAGCATGCTAACCTGTTGCTACAACTGCTAGAGATTGTTGTAATGTGCCATGTGATAAACAATTGTAAAACACTAATTTTGTTTTCTATGATATTTTCATTGAACGTTTTCGACCGAAGCTCGTCATCAGAATGAGAGAACTGCTAGAGATGTAGCAACAATGTACGCTGTTGCTGGGTATTTTTAAGGCATGTCTCGTYGATCAACGAGGTTATTTAATACTGTAAAAGGTTTAATCTTTGTTCCCAAACTAAGAGGCAAAGTAGCATGGGGGCAAAATTCGATTRACCATGAAAGCCACACCCATCGCTTTGAAATTTAGCAGACGTTTTCTTTTTGGTACTATAAACACAAAAAAATGATACGATTGAATGAAAACCAGTACGATCCACGTGTTGATGTGGTTAACAGGTGAAGGCATAACATTACTAAGGAAAAGAAGTACACCAGCTGACTGAATACGAGATAAAAGGTTTACGGTTACCAGATGGTTGTGGTTTAAGGCTATTATGATATCAAGTTCCTGTTGTATTGTTTCAGTGTTATCGTTCAAGAAGAAAGATTCCAGGCTGAGGAAAAGATGAGAAGAGAATCAAGAAGAATACATGCTATGTCAGTAGGTGAGTTACACGTACATGGGATGGTCTGGATAAACATTACAATGGTTTTTGTCAAAGTGGAGGTCACGGGTTCAAATCCTGCCTGGAGCTCGGTTTTTGTTTTCCAAGAAAAAAAAGCTTAATGACAAACAAATATTTACATCTTTGATTTTTCATCTTATTTTCAGCTTGTAAAGATAATCATTGAAAAAAATGGACTAAAAATGGACTAAATTGACTTCCCATTTTCTTAACTATTTATTTATTCCAACTTTTTGTTTATTATCTCGAGAGATGTACTAGAAGAATGAGAGGGAATTTTATAAAACTCACCCAATATTTTCTTTTTCCATTTCAAAGCACGTTTCATTCCCTTAAGTATGATGCATAATTAGCATCATAAAATATTTAAAATATAACGCACGCGCTGATTGGCTGGCTACCGTGTAGAGGACACGCTTGCGCAAAATTTTCTCGGCTACGCCCCGTGTTCCTAAGCTTGCTTCTCTTGTGCTCTACAGCTTCCAGGGTTCTTAAATCACAGTACAGTGACATGTGCGCGGGTACACGTTCCTTAATTAAATAACGTTTCAGAAGGTGCATTAATATAAATACAATTCATACAATGCATGTTATTCTCAAGAGGATGACGCGTGGTCTGAATTGTGCAAGCAGTACGTCCACTAATAATCAATATATATTAATATTATGTTATTTTATCGTTAGGTTCGGCTGAGGGAATCGCACCACCAAAGGTACAAATTTTTTTTTAAGCCAGAAATAATCTATTTTTATGAATTGCGCAAAATATTGTTTTACTGAATACATGCAGTCAATGGAGATAGATTGAAACAAAGTAGATTCAATATTGGATAATTTTTTACTTACTTTTTTTTGTAGCCTCTAAGACCAGGAATATCTCCCCTTCCAACACCCATGTCGTCTGGAGCGTCCACTCATGACAGCAGTTCAGGATTTACTAGTCCAAGAGGTGAGAAAATCAACAGAGAATGATGGCGTACTTATTGTAAAAGTTGACGCTGTTGTTTGTGCTACCTGAAGTCGTTTATGAATGTGTTGCTACGTCTGCTAGAGGTTGTCGTAATGTGCCATATGATAAACAATCTTAAAAGACTGATTTTGTTTTCTATGATATTTTCATTGAACGTTATCGACCGAAGCTCGTCATCAGATGAGAGAAATGCTAGAGATGTAGCAACAATGTACGCTGTTGCTGGGTATTTTTAAGGCACCAATGATTTTACTACAGTTGCCATTACTATGTTATCACTGCTGCTGAAGAAGCTGATGTTAATGTTACCATTCTTCGATTGCACGTTACGTCCTCGCGGCCATGTTGGTGCCATTTAACAAAAGATTTCTCATTAGCATCAATTGTTAACGGCACCAAAATGGCCGCCATGTTGTTGTCTTTTGACTCTCTTGGGGATGCTTGCAGCCCATCAATTGTTGTTGCTGCAAGTATTATCGTTATTGTTGTTCGGTTGTTGCTGTCGATTTTTTCATAGTAGCGACCTTTAGATACGACGACGAGTACGAGTTTTAAAATTGGTCCTGTGTTCGTGGTTAACAATGAATCGTAGTCGATATCCGATTTTTTACAACCTAAAGTTTCAATCTACGTACACGATCACGRCTACAAAAAGATAGTGCCTCTCTTTAAAAGTTAACCACTCGTTCTCGTACTCGTCGTCGGATCTAAAGGTCTCTAGTAGCGCCGCACGGACACCAGCATTTCTGGACATGCTCCTCCAGTGACGATGCCCTTAAAAGCAATTTCTCTTTTCAGGTTTTCCGTATTCCAGACGTGACTCGGGTTCCCCCAGATCCCCAACTTCTCCAAACAGTAACACTCTTCCTCGTTCACACAAGTCGTTCCATGAGTCCAGCGGAATGAGAGCGTTATCAGGACAGCCCTCGCGACACTCGGTCAGCGGTTGCAACACTTTACCTCGCAACTACAAGCCATTGAGTCCATTATCCAGCCCTACGTCACTGGATTCCCCTGGAATGACATTACCRGTGAGTAGATCAGGATCTAGGATCACCGTATAGGAGGTCGCATTGATTGGTTGGTCTCTTTTGGCCTTTTTCGTYTTGAAATCTAAGGCACTCTGGAGTTTTTATGTTTTCGTTCCTATACGGTGACGAACTAACTTTTAATCTATTTGTTAAGAAAAGTCACTTCCGGTTCTTTTGGATTCCAAACCGGAAGTGCACATCATTTCCGGGTTTTAATTAAGTGAGGACACAAGCGTCATGTGGTATTTCCAGCCTTTTTCTTCCTGGCGGAATTGGAAGTGCAAACAAGACGTAATGTGTCTCCTTAGGAAATACACGTAGAGTCATGGAATGTGGAACAATGTTGTGGGTGATTGACTTTGTTAAGGTTTTTGTGATGCAATCACCTGGGCTCGGTTGTACAAAGCCTGGATAGCGCTACCCGACGGATAAATCCTTATCCAGTAGATAAGTCGATGCTGTTATCCAATAAATGTATCCACTGGATAAGATTTATCTGTCGGATCACGCTATCCACCCTTCGTACAACCGGGCCCTGTATTTTTAATCTTGGGAGGTTATGCAGTGTGTTTGCGTGCGTGGATTTTCTGCGCAACACGCGAGTACCTTCATGATAGTCACCTCAGTTAATTTAGTATCATACAAAGCCATATGGTGTCTAAGTAAGCCCTCGGGCCCTACCTCACTAGACTGCCGAAGATCTAGAACGAATGGAAGAAGAAGAACGAAAAGAAATGGAAAAACTCGAACAGCAGATGATTGACAAGAGGCTGACCAAACAGAGACTGGACTCCGTGGCTGACAGCAAGTGGCTTGAACAGGAAGAAATGAACATAGAACTACCTCGATCACCTGTGGTACGACCCTAGTTGTAACATCTGTTTGTCTATGCACCTTATCTGTCGCTTTCGTGCTCAACCAAATACATGTAAACCGCTGCTGTCATTGTTAAGATATTAGTAACTGTGCTCGTAGTTTAGAAGTAGTTTACTTCACGCTGAGTGACCCTGGTGCTAGGGGGCAAGTCTCGTTTTCCTTTCCATGGAGAAACCAAAAACAAGAGAGGTATCCCTAGCAGTAGGATCACCCTACCTTATGATAGACTGTTTACATGAAGGTAGGATGACCCTGGTGCTAAGGACAAGTCTTGTTTCCTTCCTCAGGGAACACCAAAAACAAGAGATAGCCCTAGCAGTAGAATCACCCTACCTTATGATACACCGTATACATGACGGTGGGGCGACCCTGGTGCTAGGGGTAAGCCTTCTCTTCTTTCCCAAGGGGACACGAAACGAGACTACCCTAGCGGTAAGGTCACTCTATACGTGTACTAAGCTTGTGTACTCGTGTGTATTTTTAGTAGCTAATCCATGCGTAAGGTTAAGCTCGCTGCATCATTGAAAATACAGAACATTTACATTATCAGAAACCAGGAAACGTTACCTCATGAAAACTAAAAATGAGACCAACCTCCAAGTTGAGATCTACTTGGAATTCCTTGGAAGGTCTATACCCAGATTATCTGGAGACACATCGGATTCTTTCCCTAAAAACTGGAACGTCAGTCTCCAAAACGCTTGGTTTCTGAAAGTAATTGAATGCAGGCTATTTATAAGCACATGTTAATCCACCTTCCATGATAACGTAAAGGTCTAAAAAAATATTCTTGTCTATTAAGAAGGGATTCTTGTCATACATAAGACGTGTTAAAGCTACAGCACTGTCTGATTGTAGCTACAGCATTGTTTGATTTATTTTTTAACGGCGGGCCAAGTAAAACCTTTCTTACTTGGCCATCTTGATACACTCTGTCGCAATAAAATATCTCTTCATGGTGGCGTTTTGGTGGCTTGCTTTTTCAGCATTGCTTTGTCTATTTTAACTAGCTACAAGTCTTTGACTTCCCTCTTCCTTAAATACACCAAAACAAGAGTGACCCCTAATATAAGGGGGCACCTTATCTTCACGAAACGGTCTCTTAGAAAAGAGCTTCCTTCATTTAACGTGGATGTTTTGCTTCTGTTGCAAGCGAAGACAAGTTTTGATGAGTTTTTATTTCTCAACAGTTATCACCCAAGCATACTCCACAGTTACCTTCACCAGAGGAACCGCTGTCATCCACTGTAGAGTCGTACAACCCACAGGGATTCGCTTCTATCTTCAAGCAAGGAAATGTCGCCAAAGAATGTGAGTACACTCTTCCTTACACCAGGGTGTCGATAACACAAACTGAATCTGTTTGCACGCATTTTATTCGAAAACGTATTAGTTTTCGGACCTGTAAATCTCATGCATCAAACTCATTAACATCCCTCATGATTGGCCAAGCGCTGGCCTACATCTCAGTCATCCATCTAGCTTTTCATTCAAAGCTTGTCATTCATTTGGTTGGTAAATTTTGTGAACAATCTCTGGGCTGGTCAAAGTTAATTATGGCACGGCCAACTCGATTGAACAACAACTGACTTGTTATGTTTTACACTTCATAGCTCATAGTACAGCTACTAAACCAGCAGGTCCCCTGGCCGCCACCATCGGCGAAGACACGCAGACAAACCAGGTACGGCTTTTGATCCGCTTGGTCTATATAGCGTGACCAGTTTTTTTTACCGCCAATAAATCATTTAATAAAATTGCATTTTAGAACGCCCCACCGGCCAAGCCGCCACGAGATATCAACGAAGACAGATCGAGCGACAAAGTGTTCATGACTACTACTACGGTGGTACAGTCAGTGATTGACCTGAACACTGGCCTGCCCTATGCTAGATGTGAAGACTATCCACAGTTTGTCAAGGTACGTAACATAAAAACTTATAACTACAATATCCGCAGAGTAAGTTCTCGTGTTTGTGGGTTATAAAACTTTATTGAGTGCAAAAAAATTACGAAATAAACGGTGGTGTCTGCGTGACCGCTTGTCATGGCGTGACCGTGCTGTGCCGTCCCTGGGGATTTTAATTGGATGAAGAGTTGCGCGTCGTAATCTTCAATACCGTACCGTGACCGTGCTATGTACTAGTGCATATCTAGCGTGAAATGATTTATACGCTGGATTTCGGCATTATCGAGTATTAAGACTGGACAAAGGGTAACGCGTTGTAGACATTAGTACCATAACCACTTTGCTAACTTTTGCTATTCATTTCCGTAGACTATTGGTGTCGCTTTAAGAAGTCTTCTTTCTGAAGTTGACAGTGAGATCCAAAGCTTACCTTCAAGTTCACATAAAGAGGTTAGTACTGTACAAAGATAGCTAGATGTTTAGCCAATGGGTGTAACATTCTGCCCACCCCAGCTGTATACACTACTTGCTCTATATTCTCTTGTTTTTATTGCTTTTATATTCAAACGAAAATTCAATGCTTTTTCAGATCGAAATGGCTCACAAAGTACTGTCCGCGGACATGGGTGAACTCATAAACTCAATGAAACTCGCTCAGAAATACAGCACAACTACACTAGACCAGGAATACCGCAGAGGAATGTTATCAGCTGGACATGTGCTAGCAGTGGACGCCAAGCACTTGTTCGATGTTGTAGACACCGCAAGAAAACAAGGTCGAAGAAGCTCACCCACGACTGTGTCAAACAGCGACAAGTAGGGGGATAATGTTAACTATCAATAGGAAAAAACGTATTTTTCGAGGAATAGTTGCTGCTTTTTTTAAACAGAATTTATGAAAAAAGTTTGCAAATTTCCTGGTGAAATCTTAAAATCCAAAAATGATTTTCACTTAAAGCAATTCCTGGATGACCAAGAAGGCGTAAGCATGTTTATGGCGTATACGTTACCTTATGCAGTCCTCTTAAAGTCCTGAATTTCAGCTCCGTKTTTTCTTTGGAGAGAATTCTGAGAAGAAAACAGCTCAAAGAACATGTTTAAATAGAATACTTTTATACCACGAGAAAACTATTTTTGTTAAAAAATTCTTTCAATAATCCATTTGTACCACCGCTCCCTCTAAATGTTCAACCTAACACGTGATCTGGAAGCAGAATTTCGAGATATTTATAGTATTATAGACAACAACTGAAGCAAATAGGACAGGAATTTTTCATAACAGACGGGTAACATGTTGGTTCAGACATTCAACATTACATTGCTTTATAACAAACACTTGAGTCAATTTGTGTTGAGAAAAAGAAATGTTACCCAAAGTGAACGACAGTTGAGTTCTTAGTTGCTTGGTGAGAGAATAAATCTGCAAGAGCGTCCCAGTCAGATAGTGTAAGAACATGCTAGAACTAAACTTTTGAGGCTCATTCAAATCTGATTTCATTAGGCGTGGTCATACACCTCTGTCCATCCCTTCAGTGTGGCAGAAAGTAGAAAAGGGTGATGTTGCATGCATTGCTGCATCKTGCAGGAGTCAGGGTCTTTAGTATTCTCCTTTCGTAACCTGCATTACGTCTAGTTRGCCGGCTCTTAGGCTGGTGCTGTTATGTTYGTCACGCAATGTTTCTCTTTTTGGGGAGAATCATTGCATTCWCCATTTTCCATACATCGGTTCACTGGTCAAACACAAAGCGTTCACTCGAGGTTGCAAGGTTCAAATTTGAATAATCCATTAAAAGTACCTTGGTGCCTCGCTTGAGCGCTTTGTGTTTGAMCAGTGAACCGATGTATGGAAAATGGYGAATGACGAYCCTGGCTAATGTGTAGTGGACATGCTGAACAGCTAATCAATCTTTTGTTGGAAAAGAAAAGAAAATTAGTTCAGGCATACTAACTTATCTCAACTTAGAAATAATACAACTGCGCATTCTTGGAATATCACAAACAATATTTGGACAATTATCGATTCTGATGTTGCTCCTGAAGTTTGCAAATCCATAGAGGGTTTTATATTCTGCAATATAGATAAATTTAMATGGTTTTAATTAGCCAGCCGAAGAAAATTTTTATAAAGAAAGTAATAAGGAAACAGTAGCATAAACTTTACAGTATTAAGGATAATTTTTAAAGAATTATGAATATTATATATTTTTGATATGCGTACGCCAGCCATTGGGCATATTTCAAGCATGCGCAGTGCATCTTCCTTTTTGCTGCAATACAAAGAAAATGAGGTCAGTGCTACATTTAAATGTCCCAAGCCTGTAACTCTGTAAGTCCTCCCTTACTATAGTTATGCATTTATCATAGACAATTTAGGGAGGGGAAGGAAGGGGAATTCATTTTCAGAATGTTCTGGCATACCACAGGAAGACCAAATAAAGTTTCAGGCTGTTTCTTTTGAATCGACAAATTTGCTTGGCCTTGATATCCCATTTTGTAGATAATTATAATTCATTTGTATTCAAGCTTAATTTCCCAGTAAACTATTGAAGAGAATTTGTTGTTAGGCAGCAATAAATGTAGATTTTATACATGAATATATTTTAGTGTACTTGGAATAAATCATGCTACTTTCAAAGTACAAGCGAGTCAGTCTTATTTCTCACTGTCCCTCCGGTCCCTTGGAATAAAATTTAAACCTGGGTTTTCAATAGTGATGAGAGCAGTTTTTCACTGACCGGATGTTTCTTCTACCCAAATATAAARGGATTTCATATCTAAATATGAAAAACGATCTTATACTTCTATAGAACCCTTGCAGAAATATCAGAGCAGCCCAATTCAAAGTGCAAAACAATGATTCCAATTCTCATGAGCAAATAAATTGGGGAGGGGAGGGGGA